GAGGCCAACTAAATCATGAGGAACAACAGACACAACTGAAGGAAAAACAAAAGACATATTACTAAAGACACCCAATAATGTTCTCAAAATACATCTACCCTGTTACTTCTTCGTTCCATCTTATCCAATAGATAAAAAAAAGATAAAAAAAACTAATTCATCAGAAAGAAAGAACAGAAAAGAAGAACATACTTTTTTAAGGAAAAAAAAAAAAGGAAACTCACCAAAGAAATTGTCTTCCCACGTTATTGTGAGTAAAACTTGGTATGGACGCATTCCAAGCACAAAATATGTGACACCACAAATTTCTATGGATCTCTTCTTTCTTTTCTTTATTTGGGCCCCCCTCTATGGCTATCTACAGAATCCAAAAAAAATAATATTACCCTCCCATTTTTAAGGGCCTATTTTCGAAGACCCTCTTTGCGGACACAAACTTGCATGTGTCTCTATAAATATGCACAATCCCATGCCCCTTTCAATCAACATCTAACAATCCAACCTTCTTTACTACAAAGAAAAGACCTTAAACTTCTCATATCAAGAAACAAAAATGGCGTTCAACACGAAGCTTCTTTTGACCATCTGCTGCGTCGCATTGGTCTTTAATTGACAAATGGACTATCAAAGAGAATGTTTGGTACTCTGTATTGTTGGTTGTTTAGGAGTTCCCTGCACATAATTATTGATGAATTGTAAGACATGATTAACAATCAATATAAGCTTACATAAGAAATAACAAATGGATCATTTATCCTATACTAGATGGGGACTTACCATTAACATAATCCACTGCGGTGTTTTTCTTCCTTTTCTATTCATTTTCACATTCAACACTTCAATGGCACTTCACCAACAAAGAGAATGACAAGCTAATAGATGAAATAATTTCATAAAACTTTCAATCGAAGTCGAATGAAATAAAAATAACTTGGACAAACATACGTGTGCTTACTTGTTTCCATTCCTCGTCAATCATGATCTATTCAGGGGATCCATGAAATAAATGGTCTCTTTCTCCACATTAACAATAGTCAACATCCAATGATTTCTGCCAACGTAGTAGAATATGAAATAAATCCATCATAAGGCAACCAATTCATTTTTTCACATTATTTTATTTCTAAGTAATTAGATAAACCTCTTAGATAGCATTTTAGACGGACCCGGAGTTGTAAGGAATTAAGAAAATCTGGTCAGGTTCGGCTGATGAAACTGAGTTGCTAAGACACGTGATCTTCGACTAATTTCTCCACACCCTAAATCATGCTTAACGTGTTCGACGTTTTCAGCACCTCATGTAAGTACCTGTGCATTGTAAAATCAGTTTGTTATAGAAAATATATATTTTATTAAATGTAGCCTATTACTTAATCACTAGTATCAAAACTAAATACAGTTAACCTAAAGTAAGTGATGCATATTTAGTTACTTAATAAAAGAATCAATGTGCAGTACTCTTTGTCACAGAGACAAAACTATCATATCATGCACACTTCTAACATGTCATTGCCACCTTAATATGTTAAAATACTGCACTGATCGAGCAATGTTGAGACTATAATATCTCTTTTAAATATTTGAGCAGATTATAATGTTTATGTACATTTGGAAACATAACCAATGGGCCATAGGGGGAGGAGACAAAAGAAAAGAGGCTGCAATATTTGTATATACAATACATGCCTTTTATTTGGTGTTATCAATAATTACCAAACTATATTTTCATTTGGGGTTATCAATATTTGCAAAACATGTCATAAAAAAAATCTGGAAATGGCACAAATATTCAAATGCAGATAAAGAGACCAAAACTAAATTCAAGGTTTGAAGACTATGTAAGAAGGTTTATTACATTAAAACCTACTAAAGTGATCTTCTAATCAAATTAGGATTACTAAGACTTATTGTTTATTAGGAACTCAAAACCTATCTCGATTAGGCAAGCCTCAAACAGTGTTCAATAAGGATAATGAAGGCTTAAGGGTTCCTAGTTCTACAAGGATTGAAATGGATTAATCCTATAGCATGAAGGATATCTCTAAGTGTTTCTTGATGGGCAAGACACTTAGAGAGATGCATATAAATAGAAGGCTCCCTCCTAGATCCGAATAACACAACACAGCTAAACAGAAATTCACCCATCAGAGTTATAGCTATAAGGATCGGATTCTCAGGAGAAGAACTTCTATTCCTTGCACTGCCAATCTGTTCCAGCATCATCCAGCCCTTGCGCCAACACCATGTCAGAATCAGGTTAGTGTTAAACATGTTATGGCTTTAAGGAATTAACAGACTATACCTCGGTTTGAATGCAAAGCAAGAGTGATATCAACTCTCAACTCAAGTGAAGGGTTTGAAGGCGCAGGAGGAGCAAAGCAATAAACACGAGCGGCATGGCTCGGGAAACAACTATCTCTGCAGCCACTCTACTTTTTGGTTTTTTCTTTTAGGCTAAAAACTACACAACAATCTCTGCAAAACTACCAACAACTGTAAACTGCAAATCTTATGGAGATTATTAGAGAGGGAGGCAAGGAAATTAAGAATGTATTATTTTTTGGGTTGTAAATTTTGTAGTTTAGGAAGCCCAAGTCAGTTTGAAAACGTAACTATAAATAATAGATTAATGGAGAAAAAAAAAAAAAAGGGAGTGGGGGAAATGAAGTCACCTCAAAAAGTGCAGTTGAAGGTGCCTATAGAAACGCATCAAATATGAACTGCTGTAGTTTTACTCCCATTGTATGTCCATGGATAGAAGGAATTTTCTTCTGAGCAAGATAGTAACTGCATTCACGATAACATGTTTGCAACAATATCATTAGAATAGCTAAAACTATGGATGAGAAACTCAGCAATATGGTTCACTTATCTTATCCATTTCTAACAAGCTAGACATGATTATCACTATTGGTACAATACAATCATTAAATATTAATTGTTTATTTTTTCTTTAACATTTGAAACTAGCACTCAGATCTCTCTTTTATAGAAACAATTCCAAACAACCCTTTTTTTTTTCTAGAAAAAATTGCCCTCACGCCATTGTTCTTGGAAAAGAAAATACAAAATAACCCCTCCTTTATCCCTTGCATATCCATCATGTATTCATGTAGTCATGCCTACAATCCATCATGTATCCTATTTTAAACTTGATTAGGTAACTAGCTGAGGTGGATCATAGTCATTGTGTTTTACTTATAAAAATTTTATTTATAGAAAAATAAAATGATGGATTGTAGGTATGACAAAAATAGTTTGAAGGGAAAAAACAAAATTTACTAAAAATAATACGGCTGTTGCTATCCAGCTTGTTCAGTAGCATGATTCTCTTACTTTGCACCCTCTTGCATCTCTGGTCTCTAGCTGTTGGCAGTTAATGCAGCAGCTTGAGAAGTGCAGCATGCGTCATATTTTTAGGGAGAAAAACAGTGTTGCAGATCGTCTGGCTGCTTGGAGTTATAACTTAGATCTTGGTATCTGCGTTTTTGATGAGGCTCCAAGTTGGATTGGGACTTCTTTGGTGGAGGATTTGTTAGGGGTGTCTAGGCCCCGGTTGATTTGTGTTGGTTAGTTTGTTTTGTTTGTTTGGGGCCCTCCCCCCCATTTCCAAATAGAAAATTGAGCTAAAACCCATAAAATTCATTTTAAATCACCTACAACCCTTTCCTTTAGTTTTCTATGTAAAATACCCAATTTTTTCAAATAATACCCGATGACTAGGATTCAACTAAGCAAGTTACCTAATATAACTTAAAATCTGATTTATTGTATTTTTCGGATTCTAAAACTACCCCTATTTATAAGTTAATGTGTTATTGGGGGTGTAGCTAATGAAACCTGTTGAATTTGAAAATATCTCCAAATAGTTGTAATGGATGTAAGAACTAATTTAGAAACTTATTTGAAATTAAATATTAAATTCCATATTAAAGTATTAGTAATCTATTTTTGAATTAATGGTGTTTTCCTTCTATGAATTACGACTAGTAATCTATTTAAAGTAATAATAATTTAAATTCAATACTAGTTTAAAGTATTAATAATTTAAATTCAATATGAAATTTAGGAATTAATGTTGTTTTCTTTTTATGAATTATACGACCAGTATTCTTTTTTATTATAATTTTATGAATAATAGTGTACATTCTAATTATGTTGAAAAATAATTTGATAATCTATTTATTGTTTTGTTTTTAAAACATTTTTTTTTAATGAACCTATTTTTTCTCCAAATATTGTGCCTATTTTTTCTTTATTACTTGTTTTATAAAAAAAAAAAATAATTTGATCATATTTTTATTGTTTGTTTTATGAAAACAATTTTTTTTTAAATGAGCCTATTTTTTCTCTCAAAATAATATACCTATTTTTTTTTTCTAAATAATGTACCTATTTTTTCTCTCAAAATAATGTACCTATTTTTTCTCTCAAAATAATGTACCTATTTTTTATCTCAAAATAATGTACCTATATTTTTATACGTATATATTTATATTTTTCATATGTACATTATTGGATATGTAATTTACATATTTTTTTTATTTGCAATTTTAAGGGTCATATGTTAGAGGGAATGACAACCAAAAAAAATGGGGTGATTGATATGCTATTAATAGGGAGTTTTAATTACAATTATGGCAATTAATGAAATGCTTAAAATAAATTATAAATAAAATATGAAGTCTAATGGCAAGGATGTAAAAACATAGGAATAATACGACATCTTATATCCTACTAGTCATTTAAATTTGAAATTGGATTTTACACATAGATTTATAGAATGATGGGTATATGTCTAGGAAATAGAAATTGTAGGGACCTATATTGGACAAACCAAAAAAAAAAATAGTTTAAAGGGAAAAAACAAAATTTACTAAAAATAATAATTCAACCCTCCCACTTTTAAGGGCCTATTTTGGAACACCCTCTTTGCGGACACAAACTTGTCTGTCTCTATATATATGCACAATCCCATGTCCCCTTTCAATCAACATCTAAACCTTCTATACTACAAAGGACAAACCTTAAACTTCTCATATCAAGAAACAAAAAAAGCGTTCAACATGAAGCTTCTTTTGGCCATCTGTTGCGTCGCATTGGTCTTCACTATTGTCTCTGCAAACATTTCCAAAGAAGAGATCGATGGCTTCGTTGAGGAGCACAACAAGGCTCGTAAAGAGGTCGGCAACAAACCCCTCAAGTGGAACACGACCTTGGCCCAGTATGCCCAAGAATACGCCGATAAAAGAGTTGGCGATTGCGCCATGGAGCACTCAATGGGACGTTGGGGTGAGAACTTGGCCTCCGGCGACGGCATGAGCGGCGCAGCTGCCACCAAGTATTGGGTCACTGAGAAGGAGTTGTATGACGAAAAGTCCAACAAATGCCTCAAAAGCAAAGACGAATGTGGTCACTACCTTGCTGTGGTATGGGGCAAAACCACCGAGGTCGGATGTGGCATTTCAAAGTGCAAGGATGGAAAGAACTATGTCGTTTGCAGCTACGATCCCATGTACCAGCCTGAGGACGAGCGCCCCTACTAGATGATGTATGCACGCTCACGTGCGCGCAACCACACCAACACTAGGCCGGTTGAGTGATCCCGTGTTTTTTTTGTCTTTTGGTGAAATTAGAAAAATAAAGTGTAACGGATGTATACAAATACTTCCCCACACTCACAACATTTTTTACATGACTAGCATTTGATATGGTATTGTGAGAGGTGACAAAGTGAATAAAAAATGAAAAAGAATAAGATTATTTCATTTTTTTAATTTCTAAATGAAATATTATCTCATTCTCGTTTTTTTTTTCTTTTTCTTTTTTCTTTTTTTGGTCAATCTCTCTCTGTCTGCCTCTCCATCTCGCATTTGTCTTTAATTGACAAATGGAATATCAAAGGGATGTGAAGTGCATGTTTGGTACTCTATTTGAATCCAACTTTTGAAACTTTAAAAATATATATTTAAGTCCAAAACTCAAAAAAATTGTTTGGTAGACCTAGTTTTGAAAACCTAAACTAAAAAATAACTCAAAAATACCCAGATACTTGAAAATATAACAAATCTGTTTTATAGAATTTTTTTCAAAGAAACTATTTTCAAGTTGCATACCAAACAAGTTTTTTAATTTTCAAACATGGATTTAGAACTCCTTGTTTTTAAAGTTTGGGTTCCCTCACTGAATACTAAACAAGTTTTTGAATCTTAAAAAATGGGTTTTAGGACTCTTTGTTTTCAAGAAAAATAAAAGTTTTTAAATTCCATACTTGAATAGGATACCAAATGCCACCTAAGATTTTCTTGTTCATGATGTTTGCATGCACTGTTTCTTTATATATATATGAGAATTGTTGAATTGAGATTTGTATACCAATTTGATTGTGGTTGTACAATAACCAAAGGATGGTACTTAGTAAGGACTAACTTGGGCTATAGCCCAGGTATGGCGTTTTTTCTTAGCCCAAAATTTCTAATACAACATCCTTCACATAAAGTAAATTTATCCATTCCATTATAAATATAACAAATCTTATATGATATCTTATACCATTTCAAGTAAGATTAGAACTTCATATGATTGGAAAGCTAAAGTAGAATAGAACACTTGTTGTAAAGGTTGAGATGTCACCTAACTTTATTCAAGATCTCAAAAAAAATTTGGATTAAAACCCGTGGTGGTCAAGATTGTGGTTGGCAGTGATTAGAGGTAGGAACTTGGATTTCTTATGTCTTTATAGATTTTGAAAATTTGAATGTGTTCGTTGTAATTATACTTCACTAATTATGTCTATGGTTTTTCTAGTAATGTCTATGTGTTTTTTCTCTTTTTTAAAATCTTTAAGTGAGGGAAGATTCGAGTTTGAGACTTTTTTATTTTTAATATTGGAAAGAAAAATACAACTAGACAAAAATGTAATTGGTTTATCCAAAATTTTAATAAAGGACTAATTATCCATTAGTTTGGTAAGAAACATAAGGCTAAACAACCATACGTATTTCCTTTTTGCTACAATGGGCCTGAAAACCAAGAAAACTCGCAAGAGTTTTTCATGCGCTAGACAATGCCAATCTGCGAAAAGGCTATAATGAGGGCTTAAAGTGAGGAGGTTATTTGAGGAGGTCAAATCTCACCATCAACAAATGTAAAGAAATCATGGGACTTAAATATTTTAAATGTTTTGACGGTCGGATCGGTCTCCTCAAATAACCTCCTCACTTTAACTCCTCATTGTAGAAACTCCCGCCAATCTGATATGGGGCAACTCGGGCAGAAGAGAGCCCAAAGTTGTTGCAAGACCAAGAGAGGCAAAACCCTTCAAACGTTTTCCTCTATATCCATATTTAATTGGGAAAAAAAGTCATTTTTGGTCCCTATAGTTTGTCCAATTTTTTTTATTTTGGTTCATGTAGTTTTAATTTTGTCAATTTAACCCTTATAGTTTGATTCTATCGCAATTCAAGGACCCATCTAAATTTCCAGCGAATTTCATCCAAAATTCAATACAAAATACTCCTCCAAGTAAGAGACGCGTGTTTATCAAACTACATGGGTCAAATTGCTATAATTAAAATTACAAACAAAAGTGAAAATTTCGTCAAACTACGTGAACGAAAGGTGACCTTTTTGTCTAATTAATTTGCTTCATCTTTCATTTCTTTGTATTTTGGAAAGAAGCATAATGCTTTACCCTTTATTTTTAAAAGCCACAAGAAGTTGACAGATGGGCGATATTACAAGCTCATTTATATCATACTGGAGTAACGAATACTTTATTTATGAGATAGAGAAGACGAGAGTCAAAACTTTGATCTTCATTGCAAGGCTTAATGTTTGTCATTGCAGCTAAAAATCCTCGCCTAAGTAATGATTATATATTGTAATATAGGATCCAAATCCACTCTCATGAAACGGTGACGCAATCCCACACAAGTCTTATTTGTTCTCCATGCTTATTTATAGAACTTGAGAAACCCTCCCATTTTCAAGGATCCTATATTTAATCCTCTGTTCTCCGTGGTTATTTATAGAACTTGAGAAACCCTCCCATTTTCAAGGATCCTATATTTAACCCTCCCAACTATATAAATGCACAATCTCATTTCCCCTTTCAATCAACCTCTATCACTTCAACATTCTCTAATACAATAACATCCGAGACTTTCTCATACCGAGAAACAAAATGGCGTTCAACATCAAGCTTCTTCTGGCCATCTGCTCCGTCGCATTGTTCTTCACTCTTGTCTCTGCAAACCTTCCCAAAGAAGAGATCGATGGCTTCGTGGAGGAACACAACAAGGCCCGCGCCCAGGTCGGCAACCGTCCACTGAAATGGAACGAGACCCTAGCCAAGTATGCTCAAGACTATGCAGACAAGAGAGTTGATGACTGCGCCATGGAGCACTCAATGGGGCCTTATGGTGAGAACTTGGCCTCAGGAGAAGGCATGACTGGAGCAGCTGCCACCAAGTATTGGGTCACTGAGAAGGAGTTTTATGACTACGAGCTAAACAAATGCGTCCGAGACGAATGTGGACATTACCTTTGTGTGATTTGGGGCAAAACCACCGAAGTTGGTTGTGGCATTTCAAAGTGCAAGAATGGACAAAACTATGTCATCTGCAACTATGATCCTGCTTATAATGAGGAGGACCATCCCTACTAGACAATAAATTTACATGTCACACAAACATACGTGCACACCTCGACTAGGCCTGTTTGGCGGTCTTGTATTTTTTGTTGTTGAGAAATTAGAGGAATAAGAACGGTTGTGTTCGAATTTACCTCCTCACCCTCACAACATTCTTTTACGTGACTATTGATTATAAGAGGAGATGGCACATATAAAAAAGAAGTAAAAAAATTTTCATTTTTTGTAAGTTTTTACATCATTCTCTTTATTTATTTAATTTTCATCAACCTCTCTTTAATGAATACTAATTAACTCTTGATTTTGGGCCAGTGATACTTCTCTTCCTAAAACTCAAAGAGACTTGACCATATTAACTCGTAATTTTAAGAGGTGAGGACAAGATCCTGATTCGTAATTTTCTTACTCTGAACCCGACCAACCATTTTATGACTTCACCTTTCTTTCTCAAGACCCGTACAACACACACGCACTACACATGGTATGGTAAAGTCCATAAAGAATTTTCCAAAGCAATCACGGTATGGTATATACTTCATTTCCTTTCCCCTATTTTCCAAAGTTTACTTTTCTTTTCTGGTCTTCCATAGTTTGCGATCAATTTGTTCTCCGAGATTGAGGGTTAGCCTTACTTAGACGCTAACTGATCAACTCATATACGTTTTTTTATTTTGTTTTTTCTGATAGCAAAGCAACTCATACGTTTTCTACATGCATCCATAATATATTTCACAAGCTCTCAAGTATTTTTTTTTATTTATGTTATATTTCACAAGCACACTCCATTATTGATAGAGTCAATAACGTATTAGGAATGCTCTTGTATAGTAATGCACATAAATTTCCACATTTACCATTGTAAATACTCAACACATTGGCGACTGCAATCCTATCCACTCTGGTGGGCCCTACGGCGAAAACATTGCCATGAGCACCGGTGACTTGTCGGGCCTGGATGCCGTGGACATGTGGCTGGTGGAGAAGGCCGACTATAACTACGACTCTAACTCGTGTGCCGATGGCAAGGTGTGTGGGCATTATACGCAGGTTGTTTGGAATAACACAGCTCGTGTAAATGCGGTGCAACAGTGGAGGTACCTTCATCGTGTGCAACTATGATCCGCGAGGCAACTATGTTGGGCAGAAGCCTTACAACTCCTATGCGAAAATTCTACCATGCGCCAGGTGCATGGATGCGCCAATAATATTCACCATATAGGCAACAATGTTGAGTAGAAGCCTTTACTAAACCAACTATATCTGTTCGTCCAAAAAAAAAAAAACAACTGTATTTATGAAGCTATGTTATCAAGAATAACATGAATTAAGAAGTGATGTTCGATCATCAATTCATTGTATCTTATTCACTGGCATGATGGATGCTAAACTTAATGGATATTAGGGGTGGGTACAGTTCGGTTCAAACCATTTTCTTATAAAATTGAAACTTGAATTGAAAATGAAAACCGATTTAATTCGGTCTGATTTTGACAAAAATTCATAGGCAAGACCGAACCAACCCGGACCTGCCCAATTCCGGTTTTGTTCTTGCAATTTCCGATTTTTGGCCTGAGTCCAAAATTGTATTATATAATTTTATTTATATTACAAATCTGCCCAAAATTGTATCATATTACAGACCTGCCCAAAGTTTAATTATATTACAAACCTACCAATTTGTTCATTATCAAATAGGCCAAGCCAAAATTTAAACTTCCGCCAAGCTTTTAATACATCAAAATCAATCCAACTTTAGCAAATATAAATTATATTCCAACTTCAGCAAAATATAAATTACAATCTTACTGCAGCAAAATATAAACAAAATACAAGCATGCAAAAACTTCACAAAAGCATGTAGTCTCAAGTGTTTCAACTTCATTAAATTCCTCTTAACATTGAAAAGTAGATGTGGCAGACTTGGGAGGTGTGGATGAACTCATAAATCTATATAAAAAAAACATAAACCTATTAAAACATTAGTGAAACATACAAATTGTATAATACATTAATAAAGCATATACAATTACAAAGAAATACCTAATTCAATGGATTTGTAAAACTTCATCTCTTGAATTGTTGGCTTATATTATAAAGAAGATATGTCATCTGACCTTAACCAATTTTGAGAGCAAATTAAGGCCTCCACAATCTTAGGAGTCAAAAAAGCACGAAATGAATTAATTACCTGACCAACCGTGCTAAAACATGATTCCGAAGACACCGTTGATACTGGAATTTTTTTGGGTTTTTTTTTTTATAGAAATTAAATGATGTAGGATTTATTTATAGTTTTAGTACTAAGAATGGATATATAACAAAATATCTCTTTCTTTTTCAAGACCCGTACAACTACACGCACTACACATGGTATGGTAAAGTCCATAAAGGATTTTCCAAAGCAATCATGGTGTGGTATATACTTCATATTCCTTTCCCCTATTTTCCAAAGTTTACTTTTCTTTTCTTGTCTTCCAAAGTTTGCGATTAATTTATTCACCGAAATTGACGGTTAGCCTTAGTTAGACCTAGCTAACTGGTCAACTCATACGTTTTTTTATTTTTTATTTTCTGATGGCAAAGAAAACTCATATTTTCTAGATGCATCGATATTTCACAAGCTCTGAAGTATTTTGATATTATATTGCACAAGCACACATCATTATTGATAGAGTCAGTAACGTATTAGGAACGCTCTTGTATGTAGTAATGCACATAAATTTCCACATTTTCCATTATAAATACTCCACACCATATGTATCGTTCTCGCAACAAAAAACTCCTCCATACATTATCAAACTCTCAAAACCCAACATGGGGCTGTCCAAGGTTTTACTAGCCCTCGTTTGTGTTTTAGGCTCTGCCCTTCTCCAATCCACTCATGCCCAAGACACACCACAAGACTACCTCACTGCCCATAACAACGCTCGAGCGGCGGTAAACGTTGGGCCATTGTCATGGGATGAGAAGCTACAAGGCTATGCGCAAGACTATGCCAATCAACACATTGGCGACTGCAATCTTGTCCACTCTGGTGGGCCCTACGGCGAAAACCTTGCCATGAGCACCGGTGACTTGTCGGGCACGGATGCCGTGAACATGTGGGTGGCAGAGAAGGCCGACTATAACTACGACTCTAACACTTGTGCCGATGGCAAGGTGTGTGGGCATTATACGCAGGTTGTTTGGCGTAACACTGCTCGTGGAGGGTGTGCAAAAGTGAGGTGCAACAGTGGAGGTACCTTCATCGGGTGCAACTATGATCCGCCAGGCAACTATAACGGGGAGAAGCCTTACTAAACCAACTATATCTATGAAGCTATATTATCAAGAATAAAATGAATTAAGAAGTGATGTTAGATCATCAATTCATTGTATCTTATTCACCGGCATGGTGGATGCTAAACTTAATGGATATGAAGAATAACTTTTTATTATTTTGGAAACTTGAGACATATGCATGCTGCGTCCAAAGTTGTCTTTTGTTTTCTCTTTTGTTTTCTTTTTTGAGATAAGGGGAATCGACCCTTGGACATAGGATTAAAGGGTAAATATTCTTAACTAGTTGAGAAACAATCTCTTGCAAAACAAATTGCATCCGTCAAAAGAACGTATTGCGCGTTTTGTTGGAATGTCCGACTATTTTGTGTGGCTCCCTTTTATTTTATTTATTTTTAATTTATAAAAAGACGATACAATGAAAAAAGAGTACAAAGGATATCAACAGTAAAGGGAGCCATCGCATTAGCAATATGACAGACATGGGTAAAAACTTTCCTCGAATCTAATCCAATGATATCAAGGACAAAATTGGCCGCGAACTGGCATGACTCTTCTAAAGAGACTAAGAACACCCAACAAACTCAATAAAGTTTTTGGAATTAGGAGAAGAAAAAACACAAAAAACTCACAGAGTTTCTTGACTTTATTGACCAAAAAAGATCAAGACTAAAAATTTAACAAACGCTGACAAAAAGACTAACAATCGTCTCTAATCTTCTTCCAGGACATGACGGTTCATTGTGTGGCTCCCATTTACTTTCGTGAAAGGTGAACATATTTCCGCAATTTTACTCCATAGCCAATATGATGGTTCTTTGTAATTGTAATAATGTCTGGGGGGGGGGGGAGGGGGGGGTGGGGGGGGGGGGGGGGGGTGTTGCTGATTAATGACAATTTCAGTTTCTTGATATTTATGGTGGTGATACAAATGGCACAACAGAAGGCCTTAAAGAAAGAGAGAGAGAGAAAGAAAGAAAGAGAGTGCTCCTTAACACATATGCAAACAAAACTAATTTAACTAAATGATCCAACCTAGACGCACATCTTAATATTTTCCCATCAACAAATGTATCCATCACCCCAAGAACAAGATCTCATCGTTAACGGAGTCTAGCCTAGTGGAAAAGGGCTTTGACTTACAGACCAGAGGTCTCAGGTTCGAACCCCCATGTTATCTTAGTTTTGTGTGTGTGTATGAGAAACTCTCATCCCCTATACTATAAAAAAAATCAAATAAAAATTAAAAACAAAACAAAACAAAACAAAACAAGATCTCATCAGCCTTGATTAAATTAGAAATGACAAAATTTAGGCCAAGGAAAAGTTTGAGAGTTGTTAAAGTTCAAAACAAAAAAAAACAAAAAAAAGGTTAAAGGAATTTGTCAGGTGTCAAAATTCTATTTGTTTTGAGTAGGAGCTCCTCCTCAATTTAAAGGAGCCTAGCTATTTTAGGTTCTACAAGGTGCGGGTGTTTCGGCGACTTATAGGGTTCTTCCTTGGTTACACATGATGCAAACTAAATTAATTTTCACATCCACAAAAATAACAATATATATAATTTTCTCCAACCCAGACGTAGGTCTCAATATTTTCCAATCCATATCCAACAAGAAACTCTTTAGCAGAACAATCTGTAGATTATTACAATTAACCACTAATTTACATAATGGAAGGGTTGTGCAAGAACAAGATCTCATTAGCCCTACTTTTAATTTGCCTAATAGGGTTAGCCCGTGCCCAAAACGCCCCAGATGACTACGTGAAAGCCCACAACGCGGCGCGAGCGGCGGTTGGCCTCGACACCTTGGACTGGGATGAAGGCCTAGCAGATTCTGCGAAAAACTATGCGAACCAACGTGCCGGCGACTGCGACCTTGTGCACTCGAATTCAGGCCCTGGTGAAAACCTTGCAATGAGCCCGGACGGAGACTTGACGGCGAAATTGGCTGTGGACCAATGGGTGGCGGAGAAGGCCGATTATGATTACAAGACCAACACCTGCACCCCTGGGAAGCAGTGTGGCCATTATACGCAGGTCGTTTGGCGTGACACGGGGCTTGTTGGGTGCGCCAAAGTCCAGTGCGCCTATGGAGGTTCCTATGTCGTTTGCCACTACGATCCTGCAGGCAACTCTGTTGGGGAGAAGCCTTACTAATAGGCTTAATTGATCACAGTGTGTGCCTGAAGGGATCCTGGCCATTATTATTTTTATTTTTGGTCTTCTGATTAAACCTAAATCATAAAAGGAAAAATAGAAAATAATTCATAGATCGGAGAATCATTCGTGGAGCATTTATGCATATTTTGACTTGTTTTTTGTTTTTTATTTCTTATTTTCTTTTCTCTTCCCTTTCTTGGAAGTAAAGTGAAAGCGCTATGCAAATTGTAAAAGTTTGGCAATCCAATAATTGTCAAGGGGGATGTCTTGGCGACTTGATTACTTCCTATAGCTTTCTAGATGTTGAAATTTCCATGTTTACAGAAAGAAACAAAATAATACAACTGATGTATATTACGCACCAATAAATTAGTTCTTATGGCTCAAATACTTTTAGTTAACACGTACGTCAATGCCACATCAAAATATCTACTAAGTTTTTCTGCGGCCACCACACTCGGCTAAAATGGAGGGCCTGGAGGGGATGGGTAGAGATGGAAAGGGGAGGGACAGGTCTGGGAGGGTAAGGAGGGGAGGGATGAGATCACCAACCTCCAAAGGGGGTGGCGGCTGAAACTTTTTTTCTCTCTTAGAGTTTTCTCTATTTATCTTTTTAAAATTAAAAGATGTCCCAAATTTGAATATCTTTATTATTGATAATAACATAGAGATTCGGATCCTCGTCTTGGTTTTTCTCTACTTTGATCTGCTTGATTTTTATCGTAAACTTGCCACCACATTGAATAATAATCCAAAGGCTAACAAGTTGAGACCACATATATATTTTTATATAAACTTGGTTTGTTTTTGTTTTTTGAAAATGAAAACGGGCGCTGAAAACTTAAACGAACGGGCCCTTACCTAATCTAGCTTAAAATATGATTTATTCTATTTTTCAGATTCCAAAACTACCTCTATTTACAAGTTAACGTGTTATGTGGGGGAATAACTAATGACACACGTTGGATTTGGAAAGATTTTCAAATGGTTGTAATGGATGTAGGAATTCATTTAGAAACTTATTTGAAATTAAATATTAAATTCAACATTAACGCATTAGTAATCTACATGTGATTAACGTTCTGGTTTATTTAATATATAATTTTTTTTTTCCTTTTATGAATTATACTACTAGTAATCTATTTTATTATAGTTTCATGAATAATAGTGCACATTCTGATTATGTTGAAAAATATTTTGATAATCTATTTATTGTTTATTTTATGAAAAACAATTTATTAAATGAACCTTTTTTTTCTCTAAATAATGTTCCCTTTTTTCTCTGAATAAAGTACGTACCCTATTATTTGTTTTATGAAAAACAATTTTTTTTAAATGAACCTATCTTCTCTCTCCAAATAATGTACCTAGTAAAACAATGTGCGTATTTTTTTAAATGAACCTATTTTTCCTCTCCAAATAATGTACCTATGCAAATTTATAGGTATATTGTAAAATAGTTTACCTATGGGTAAATATTATACCTATATTTTCTATAAATTATTGTGTACCTATTTTTAATTTATGAAAAATGTATGGAAATTTCAATTACAAAGTAACTGACTTAGTTTTTTTTTTAAATTTGGTTAATAATATACCTATATTTTATTTAAATAATATATTTCTATTTTTCATAGTACATTATTGGATATGTAATTTACAGATTTTTTTTTTCGTTTGCAATTTTAGGGGGTGATATGTGAGAGGGAATGACAACCAAAAGAAATGGAATGAATAAATCATAAATAAAAAAGTGGTTTTAGGTTAGTAATTCTTAAGTTATCAAAAAAAGTAAAGAAGAAAAAATTGAAGTTATAATAGCTTGCGGAACTTCAATCAAAGTCAGATTTTAAGAATAAATTATAAACAAAAGGTAAATATAAACAAATGCAGGGTTAATTAGGGGACCTTCAGAAGGGTCAGATAACCCTTGTGGGTCTTCATTGTCTCCGCCTTTGCCCTCAGTCCTAGCTAACTAGTTGCTACCGACCCACCCAATTACATTGCACAAAATATTTGTGAGCTAAGATATGTGCTATTCTATGACTGGCCTAGTTTGTTAGGAAGCACTAGATTAGACTGGACTATACTAGCAAAATATCTACATTTCATGTGCAATTAAGGCATAATTTGGATATTGTTGTCTAACTTGGAGGATGAAGGAGGCCTATTCATAAGAGGTTGATGACTAAAACTTATCTCTTATAATCCCACCATTTTCAAGGGGATTAGGGGGATAAGTTTTAGTAATCAACATCTTATAGATAGTCCCCATTATTCCTCCAAGTTAGGCAAAATATCCATATTATGCCTTAAAATGCACATAAAATATAGGCATTTTGTTAGTTTAGTCTAGTCTAATCTAATCCTCCCTAACAAACAAGCCCATAATCTCTTGACCGAGACCATTTAGGAAAAGTTTGAAATGTCTATTATGCTCTAGAAGAATTGTAGGACTACAATGACAATTCAACCAATTTCTACCCTTTCCCTCAGAGCAGAAGGACGAAAAATGAATGCAAGGAAAAAGGACCTTAATTATTGAAAGAAAAATTTCCACACTATATTCCAATACATACTCCACATGCATGCCTCCTACAACCCCACTTGCTTATCCTTGACCAAAGATTTCATGAGAAAAACTTATATATCATGTGGATATTTTGCTATTTTTAATTAGTTACGCTCCATCCCAAGTAATAGGATTCCACATGGCAAAGTGTAATTTCGATGGGCAGTGGCAGACTCATGAATTTTTCAATAGAAGTGCAATTTTTAAAGCTAAGAGCTGAAAAAAAAAATTATATAGACAACTAAATATCCTTATACTTTAAACAATACTAATGTTATTCATAATTAATTGAAAAAAATAACATTACAATTAACCTACAATTGTTGCCAACGAAGTTTCATATCATGAAAACGTCATATTATATTTCATTACTAATATAAGAAAAAATATTTTTCTCAATGTAAACAACCAAGCTATCACTCAACCATTGATTCCCTATTTTGTTAGGCAATGGTGTTTTCACAATATTCAAAGCTCTCTCAACCAAAGCAATTGCATAACTGTATAATTATTTGGAGGATATAAACTATATAACTATGACTAATTGACTATAATTTATCAATTAAATGAACAAATTAATATCAAATTATCGATTAAATAAACAAATAAAAAATAATTATACCTCTAATCATGTGTCATGCAGCCTCTTTCTCCTAGAGTTTGCTACTGATCTTACTAATACAAAGAGAGCTAAATAAGAAAAAATATATATATATTAAAAAAAAGAAAACAAATGAATAAATAAAATTGGCGTTTGCTCAAGAAAAAAAAAATTGCATCTGACTTACTTTGGATTGGTTTATTGAAGAAGGAAAAAAAAAATGCAAAATTCTTGTGAATAGGAATAACAAAACTGTATTATCCCTGTGACATGCGGGTCCTTCTCCTTTCATAATAGTCAATGGAGAAAAACCAATCCAGGACAAAAGCTTTTTGTGTGTTGGAGGACTCATGGGCTTGATTGTAATTTACAGGTCCATCTCACTTTGCCCTCTCATGAGAAGACTAGTAGACGATCTGGCTTTCCTGCTGGCAAAAGTGATGACGTTGGCCTTCTGACGTAGGGCGTTAACGTAGGGGCTTATGCCCGGAACTATGCTAACAATAAACATCCACACACCCCCCCCCCACCCCCCACACCACCC